TTTATTAAAAAATGTACCGAAAGTTGCGGGGAGCTCTTTCCCGAGAAAGCCTTTATAATAGATTAAGGATTCTCCAACCTTAGTGAAGGGCCAACGAAATGGGACCGGTTACTATGACAACACCCCTTGTGTTGTTATAGTAACAACACTAATCTTCCACCAATAAGAAGGTAGGGATATGATGACTTTTTATTAGTTGAGTTGACCTTGTGTAAAATCAAAGCAGGGGTATAATTGTCATTATGAAAAATATATTTAAATAAAAATAAAAAATAATTTTTGTTATTTTCGGCCCAAAATTTTGGCCGTCGGAGTTCGGCCATCGGTCGCCGGAATCTGGTCGCCGGTCACCGGAATATGCTTTTTTGTCGCCGGAATATGCTATTTTGTCATCGGAATATGCCACCGTCGCCGGAATATGCTCACCGTGGTCGGAATATGCTTACCGGCATTGGAATCTAGTCATCGGGGCCGGAAAATGCCTATCGGCGCCGGAATCTACTCACTGACGGTCATCGGAGTTTGGTCAACGGTTTTCATTGACCGGTCAACGGCCAACGACCACCGGATGTTATGGTCTGCATTGTGAGATTTATGGTTTGGTTTCTCATATTTTTGTATGTCTTTTGTGGTTTGCTTTATCGTGTTTGTGGTTTGTATTAAGAAGTTTTTGGTTTGCTTTATCGTGTTTGTGGTTTGCTTTGAGAAGTTTCTGGTTTGCTTTCAAAAATTTGTGGTTTGCATTGAGGGGTTTCTGGTTTGTTTTAATATATTTATGGTGTGCATTAGGACGTTTATGGTTTGCTTTTTTGTGGTTTGATTTACTGTGTTTGTGGTTTGCATTAGGAGGTTTCTGGTGTGCTTTCGCAAATGTTGTGGTTTGCTTTGTGAGGTTTGTGGTTTGTTTTAGGAGATTTTTGGCATGCATTAGGAGGTTTCTGGTTTGCATTAAGAAGTTTCTGGTTTGTTTTATCGCATTTGTGGTTTGCATTAATAGGTTTTTGTGTGTTTTAGAAATAGTTGTGGTTTGCTTTGTGGTGTTTCTAGTATGTTTTAGGCAATTTATAGTCTGCATTAGCAGGTTTCTGGTATGCTTTTGAAATAATTGTGGTATGCTTTTGTGATATTTGTGGTATGTTTTATAAGATTTATGGTGTGCATTCCAAGACTTTTGATGTGCTTTCAAGTGAACTTGAAACTACGGGAACTTGTAAAAATATGCCAACACTTTCAAAGATTTCCATCAAATAAGGGGAGAAAGAAGATTGATGCTAAAAAACTCAAAATTGCAGCTCAATAACTACACAGAGACTATAAAACAAATTAATCAAGTGTAGTAACTGGTTCAACTCAACAAAAATCAGTGAGTGAGCTAGCCAGAAACCAAGAAAGTAAATGGCGATTTGATCCTATTCAACTCCTCAACTTGCTCCTCCATCATCCCACAGAACCACCACGACGCCGCCGTCTCCTTCGCTAGAAGAACATGCAGCCGCCTCAACTTGCTCCTCCATCATCCCACAGAACCACCACGACGCCGCCGTCTCCTTCGCTAGAAGAACATGCAACCGCCTCTATGTTAAGCGAAATAAGGTAAAGCCTTGACGAAAAAGTTCTTCAGATTTGCTGTTTCGGTTTGTTTCATCCTCTTCACCTTCTTAGGAGAAACTCGTAGAATCACTTACCAGTTCTTTGGTCCATTGGTCCCTGTTAGTGTTAGATCTATATTTTTGTTAGCTTCTAACTTTATATGCAAAGGAAATCAAGGTAAGCTGAATCGCCGCAGAAGTTGTTAGGTGGCGATGGCCTGACGGGTTGAAGAGCAATGAAGCATATTCTTCTGGTCGGCGGTGCTTAGAAACAATGGTGAATCAAAGGACGTAGGTGGCGTCGTGCCCGCCGGCGAACGTGTACACTCTGAAAGCGAATTGGAACGCCCTCCACAACGTCTTACAACACGTCTTGCTCGGTTGAGCCCCGTTGTTAGGAACATCTCTCCTTTCCTGAGAAGAAGTAGAACGGTGAATCAAAGGTCAGAAGTCAGAACCCAGAAATACGATCTGCATGTCGAATTCGATGTTCTGGCCCTTGAATCTCTTGCATTCTTCCTCTTTGTTTCGATCGAATGCATCGATATCTCCCTTCGCCTGGAATTGAGGGATTAGTTGTGGACGACGAGGGCGGTGGGCGGGGTGGGCAGGGCGGAGATTGCGGAGCGGAGGTTGGGGATGGAGTGGCGCATCATGGCGAGGAGCTTGGTGACGATGTGGTCGGAGGGCTGGACGTGGTGGGAGACGTCGGCGGCCGGGAGGGGAACAATGGAGAGGTTGGTGATGGTTGCGGGGCGGGATTTGAGTCGGTGGCGGCGGCGTCGGTGGCGACGACGAAGAATGGTGTCTCCGCCTCCGTCGCTGGCATTTTGGGGAGAGAGGGGTTGAGATGGCGGCGATGAGATCTGAATGGGAGACAGGTTGGATCCGGTCCTTAAGCCTCATTGTTTAAGGAGGTTCTTAAACCATTTTTATTGGCTGATACTAGATTAGGTAGTTAATGAGGGGTTAGTAGTTAATAGTTAGTTGAAATAAATAAGATATTATGAAAATATAATTAATATTACTCATTAATGATTCTCTTTCTCTCTCCTCTTGATCTTCTCCATAACCCTCTCTCTCTCCACTACGATTAAAAGGAAATTCGAAATTAATTTAATTAAATTGAAAATAGTAAGGACGGAATGAGACAGCCAATAAAAGATTAACTTGAAAATAGTATGTAAAGTAAATGATACTGGAAATGACCAGATTTGCAAAAAGTAAATACTGGAGATGACCAGATTAGCAGAAGATAAATACTGGAGATGACCAGATTAGCAGAAGATAAATACTGGAGATGACCAGATTTGCATAAAATAAATACTGGAGATGACCAGTTGAACTGGAGATGACCAGTTATGCACGAAATAAACAAAAGTTGAAGATGGTTTGAAAAAGATGAAGTAAAACTTGAAAATTTGATAGACTTCTTACACAGGAATTCTTGAGAGAAGATGATGGGAGGATAGCTTTGCAAGAGAGCAATTCCCACTCAAAACAACTCTACTTACAACAAGTGAAGGGAGTCTCCTTTTATAGAGAAATGGAGTCCCCTTTTGGTAAATAAATTGAAAAACATAATGATGACAATGTGGACACTTATATGATTATGTCACATGTCATAACAAAATTACAATTTTAATATAAAGGAAAATATATAATTTGTGGTCTTCTTTCCATAACCAAATGTCAGCGTGAATGTTAAAAACGTTTTATGATCAATTAATATTGCTTTACATTATCATTCTCAATGATCATAAAGCACAATACTAATTTTCAACATCTTGGGTACTTGTGACATAGTGCACCTGTTTGATTCAGTCAAACAAACATTGTTCAGAAAAATATTAGCTCAAGCAAACCAACATTCACGCCTCAACACCAAACTCTTAATAACAACATTGATAACGATATAAAAAACCATTAATATCGAATGATCAAGTCACTGATAAGGAAATAGATTTTTGTAATAAAAAATATGATTAATATTCAGATGCAATGTTTAATGTCAAATAGCACTAAAAACGCATTAATAAGTAACATGTGTTTAATGGATAATGCATCCAAAAACTTTGATAATGATAGCAGCTAATGATTGTTCAGTACCTTATTAGATATTATTAATATCTTATTTTCAAACATTGATAATGCTTATACACGCCTATTAATAATGACACCAACTACGTTACTAACTTAGACTGAAAGATTAATAACCATAGTTATATCATTAAACGTAAATTCACTTTTGATAATGTCATAAACAAACGAATATCTAACAAGTATGCTTCTTGATAATGACATTTGACAAAGTTACAAACATAAACGAAAAAAAATATTAATAATTCAAATCACTAAACATAAGCAATCTTACAAATGAAATAAATTTTTGCTAATGGTTGTATTGTGCTTGAAAAAAAACATTGATAATAGCACTTCAAATGATTATAAATCATTGCGAACCAAATTGATAATACGATGTAATAGTAAATAAACTTCAAGTACCAACAAATTGAAAACACAATTTCACTTTTGCTAATGTTACAAACAAAACATAACATAAAAAGTTAATAATGTTATATAAAATTATTAAAAAACATGTCGAACAACATTAATAATAACACAAACGAATACCTAACAACGAAAAATCTCAAACCCATGCAATGAAAAGCCCTAATGATGATTCAATTTATAAATATTGAAAATGTCATTACAAAATGTTAATAGTTAATACTAATAGGAAGTTGCCAAAATGTGAGTGAGGCATATATTTTAAATTTCAAATTTCCATTTTAGAAAAAGAAAATTATTAAATTCGAATTTTATTAAATATCAAATAAAATTAATTTCATATTTCTTTTTAATTATAATGTAGAGAGGGTTATGGAGAAAATTATGGGAGGAGAGAGAAAGAGAATCATTAATTAATTATATTTGCATAACCCTATTTACTCTTAACTACCTATTAACTACTGACCCCATTAACTACCTAATCCACTATCACCCAATAGGAAGACTTTAAGATTTTCCTTAAAAAATGAGACTTAAGGACTTGAACTCAAGCCAATGGGAGAGAGGATGAAATAATTTTTTTTTATTATGTTTATTGTCATTTACAATTATGTCATTGTTGTTATAATCCTTATCCTTATCCTTAATCCTTAATCTATTATAAAGGCTTTCTCGGGAAAGAGCTCCCCGCAACTTTCGGTACATTTTTTAATAAATTTTCTTTTCTTAATAAAAAATATTAAAGGGCTTTTGGTTTTCACCTATGCCACGTAATCCACACTAAAATTCTAAGTTGTCCACGTCAAAACCCCCTTTCCTTCTCTTCCCTGTCGCCAGCCTTGCACCGCCCTTCCGTTCAAATTTTGCTCTGCATAAAAACCCCAATGTTACCCACAACCAACTGCCAACTCCTTCCTTTCTCTTCTGTAACTGTAAGAACAAAAAGTCCTCCCTTTCTTTTCCAGTTTTCCTCCACCCTTTGGACGTAAATCTCTATTCTGTTTTCCCCCCCGGAAAACCCCATTAACAATCCCCTCCTCCAATCTTCAATTCCACTAAAAGTCATCTCCGTAGAGATGGTTGGCGGCCACAACAACGCCGCGTGGATGGACTAATCCGTACAGAGATATGACAATTCACATCCAGATCCAGTCGGATGGTGGAAACTAAGCGGCAGGGATGACGACTACTGACGAAGCGTCAGTGGAGGCAGAGGAGGAAGGAATTGTGTTATGTGGACTGAAAAAGAATCCGACAATGGCGATGGAGATTACGGCAGTAGCGACATGCTATAGTAGGGGAACCGACTATTGTGTAAGCCAAAACTCTGTCCTTAAATTAGTTATGCGGAGCAAACGTGGACGCGGTGACATGGTGCTACGGCGGGGAATCAAAGGTACCCATTATCTTTTTCAATTAGTTATCATAAAAAATCATCGCCAAGATTTAATTTCTGTATGGATACTGATATAAAGTGTTGTTTTGGTTTATTGCATCAATCATGAATAATATTCGATGAGACACGTTAGTTTTATAATGAACATACATCTTTACTTGGTATATGCGATTGAAATTTATTATTTAATATTGAATATCGATTCATGTATCATGTAAATATGATAAATTTGATGGTTTTAATTGAAAAAACTAAACATATATCCGTACAGTGAGACTATCTAAACCTCCTTAGACAACATGAGTAAAAAATATGGCAAGCATGAACCATTATATGTGTATGTGATAAATGTTAGTACAAGTTTTGATATGTGCACATGATTGAATTCATTGTTGGCCAATTTTCACTAATAGTAATTGAATGTCTTAGATATATGTATTATCTAATGTATAATTTAAGTGGAGGATTAAAAATCATTGTCTGAACGTCAACTATTAGTTTGAAATCAACTATTATCTTATCTCAAGAGACCACAAATATATTATTCAAAATAAATTGCTAAAAAATAAATAATTAAACGATTTTTTAACAAAACTTTATTTACAATTCAAGAGACCACAAATATATTTTTAAAATTAAATTGCTAAAATATAAATAATTTGAAGATTTAAAATTATTGAAGAATATCTATGAAATTCTTGATTTACAAGATTAGATATGTAATTCACCCGGCCAATGGGCCGGGTACAAAGATAGTATTATAAAGCACTTTTAGAAAAGTGCCTCTGCCACGTACCCTTTGAAGTGCAGCCCGTAATTCTCGGATTCTATATATTTTTTAATTTTTAATGGGTTGCAATTGGTAGCGGTGGTTATATGTTTTCCCGGCCTTTTTTTCACCCGTTCCTCCAATAAATAAACCCGTATTTCTTTCGATCCGCCGATTCTGCCTCATTTTCCAACCGCCACCCCCATCTCATGAAACATCATTAATGTACACAGGGGCTCCTTCTCCCCAGTCCGCAATAAGTCACGTCCGTCCTGGCGTCCTCCGCTCCGAGTCCGAGAAAACTGAAACTATAACCCTTTGATAACACACAGTCAATCACCGTTACCCAGAGTCCGTCGAGAACTTGACTCCCAAATCAAACTACCGGATCGTCTCCAGTCCATCAACTCCATTTTCCCTTCACAAATATCAATGGCGACATAGGCAAGGCAAGTACTTCTTTATTTATTCCAATTAATCCTTCCTTCTGCCGTTTGTTAGTGGGTCCAGACTACTAATTGTGATTGTAAACATGGAGCCCACTGACATTGTTAATAGTTTAATACGACTAATAGGTCTAAGTTTGTTTTGAGTTCTTTGTCAAAATTCCAACTTACAAGTTAATTGTCATCAAAATCACCCTGGTCACAGTGGCCCTCAATCAAACAATTGTACGCACGAGCATTTGGAGAATGACTAAGCATTGCCATCTCATTGCAAAATTCGATTCGTAATACCAACATAAATGCAGAGGATTGCGTATAAAAAATATGTAACATTAGGGTTGCAAAATTTGCATGTACCACAAAAGCAAATATGTGTTCATCAATAATGAAAACATGATGCAGGCATCACCCGATTGAACAACCTTTCAACTCATTAGAACAGCCATAAAATTCAGAGTCAAACACCACAACTTCAATGTATATATAGAAGAATTTCCAACATCTACACTATCATTAACCTCATGGAATTTGATCTAAAAAAACTATGGAGGAGATGACGACAACACAAACAAGGTAATCTCTCAAACCTTTTACTTTTAGCCCCATTTCAAAAATATATTTAGACACTTTATGTAAAGAAATTACATGGTTAAGTTCATGAGTTTCTAAATAGTGACTTCAACTCTAAATAGTTATGTTTTTTCCTCATGCTTTCTTAATGAAAGAAGACTACAATTAAACAAATAGGATAGTTCACACTTGGTCGGCTCAAATAGAAATACTTCTCGATCGCGATTAGCAATGCAGTAGGGATTATGATTCATATAAAGACTTGGGCAACACATCTTTTTACATGTGTTTACCACATTAACTTCATCACTTGAATGCATGATTTTGCTATTGAATAAGAAATGAAGTTGAGCCGAACCACATGATAACATCAACAAGATAAGATCTCATGCCAATTTCTTCGCAATGATGTTAATTCAATACCATTACCTATATTGAAGAGTGGCAAGCATACTATTTGGGACCTCTTAGATTTTGATTGATAAGATCCACAACACTGTACAATCTTCATCCATGAAACAATTGTATCATGGTCATGGATCATCTTCCATGTTTCTAATATGGTATTATCAATTGTCCCTCTTTTTGCTATACTTTTCTATTTATGTCCTTGATGCTCTAAGATAAATTAATTACTTTTATGTTGTTTCACATTGATGATATTTTTCTTTCAACATTAATCTATCTAATATACTAAAATTTTGGATGACAAAGCCAATGCAAATAAGGGTTGGTCATCTTAATATAGATATGAGACACACGAAAGAAAGACTAAATCACACAGAGCCAAAAGTGAAATGAAAAGGAGAAAATGAAAATAACCCGGCCATGGGCCGGGCTCAAAGCTAGTAACAATAAAAGGGGTGTTATTCTATCCTGCCCCCAACGAAATTTTATTGAGCACGTCGGCTTCCATAGGAGGTTTTCTCTAAAATTGCAAACCATTGATTAAACTGTTGGAAAAGGACAGTTTGTTTGGGTTTGACTTTGGTGAAACATTACAGTTAGCTTTCAAATTTTTGAGTTACCGACTCGCTCACACTCCTATTTTCGTGTTTTCGGAACTATGTCATAATTGGAGTAGTGTTAGGGCAGAGAAGGAAAAACAATTTCATCTTATTACTATGTCAACCACACCCTCAATGAAGAGATAGCTTGCCATCACATTTTCTTTCGATACGGTAAATCAAGCAAGGAAGGTAAAAAAAAACAAGGATTGACATAGTAATTGAAAGCTTGCTACGCCGCATTACCTCACAGAGTTGTGTAGCTATGACATTTGAAACCCATACTCCATAGAAGAACAAAAAAGTGATCGCCACAATGATTGGTGACTAGCCGTTGAAGTAAACCTGTTAGGCATAACATATCTTCAGTGTCGAGGCATATTGTTTAACACCAAATTCTTATCCATCCGCTTTTCACTTTGCATGAAGCCACACCTCGGAGCCAAAAGTGAAATGAAAAGGAGAAAATGAAAATAACCCGGCCATGGGCCGGGCTCAAAGCTAGTAACAATAAAAGGGGTGTTATTCTATCCTGCCCCCAACGAAATTTTATTGAGCACGTCGGCTTCCATAGGAGGTTTTCTCTAAAATTGCAAACCATTGATTAAACTGTTGGAAAAGGACAGTTTGTTTGGGTTTGACTTTGGTGAAACATTACAGTTAGCTTTCAAATTTTTGAGTTACCGACTCGCTCACACTCCTATTTTCGTGTTTTCGGAACTATGTCATAATTGGAGTAGTGTTAGGGCAGAGAAGGAAAAACAATTTCATCTTATTACTATGTCAACCACACCCTCAATGAAGAGATAGCTTGCCATCACATTTTCTTTCGATACGGTAAATCAAGCAAGGAAGGTAAAAAAAAACAAGGATTGACATAGTAATTGAAAGCTTGCTACGCCGCATTACCTCACAGAGTTGTGTAGCTATGACATTTGAAACCCATACTCCATAGAAGAACAAAAAAGAGATCGCCACAATGATTGGTGACTAGCCGTTGAAGTAAACCTGTTAGGCATAACATATCTTCAGTGTCGAGGCATATTGTTTAACACCAAATTCTTATCCATCCGCTTTTCACTTTGCATGAAGCCACACCTCGGACTCCCCACCAAGTATTTCGAAGATACCCGAAAGAAAGGGTTCAACCCATCACAAAGGTAAACATTAAAAGTTGATGGATTGAAGACAATTTTTCGAGTCCCGCCGACAATAGTCTCGAAAATGGTATTTTTGGGACTATGGTGTTTTAAACACCCCAATAATTAAGAAAAAATAACAAAGATGACGTTTTATATTTTTGAAATTTTGTCGCTTAAGAAATGGGCTTATCAATTCCCCCTTTACCTATAAAAAAAATTCAAGATTTTATGAACATTTTCTAATGATAAGTCGGTGTTAGAACCTGTCTCAAACTTTGTGGATATATAAATACATAGAGTGGAGCGGAGTTCAATTCCCACTTCGATAATTTCTTGTTCCTACATTTTTCATCTCCAACTTCCTTTTACATAGTAGAAACATCAGTTCATTTTGTGATGAATCAACCTCTCCTCGATTGTTGTGACAGTTAGTGGTTGGAGTTCCGACGGGTCCCAAAAAAGTGCCCAAATCGATCAACTTATAATGTATTTGTTCAATTGACTCTGTCAGGACTTGTTTCTGGATCTTAGTTGCTTGATTTACCATATCATATGTCGTCACGCTGGGGTTCCATAGTCCCCAAACCTGTTTTATGCTTGTTATTTCCTCAATCACGGCCGTGTTTCTTGGAAACTACACCAACGTATTTCAGCCAAGGATTTGTTTACTCTGCTTAGCCAAAAATATGAGCAAGCAACAAAGATTATAAAAAAAAAAATGGTCTTACCAATTCAGAGGCTTAAATTAGATTCCTATTCTATAATCACCAACCGATTATATTACTTCTTCAAGAAGTACATCCCATCTCTCAGCTCTACCTTCTCTTCTGCGACTAACCCTGACAAAAAGCTCTGCAGCTGTTGAAGCGACTTATCGTATGGAGCATCAGCAACACAAAACATCTGGACGCAGGTGGTTTGGTCGAGTCGCGAGAAGTTAGATGTGGTAGTCACAAATCTATATGAAAGTCAGAGGAAGTCGAATGGTGAGGCAACTAAAGCTCACCTTGAGAGTGTTATGAATGCGCTCCAAAGCCATGCTGCCGAAATTTGTGAGCATCCCCATTATATATTTCTGAGGAAATAAAATAAGTCAGTACTTCCATTTAAGCTTTTCCACTGTCACACAGTTGGCTCAAGTAAACAAATGAGAGGTGATGAATCACATACCTCATATACGGTCATCTCCTTGCGCAGTTGGTCCTCCGCAGATGCTACAGAGCTTTCCCCTTCTTCGTCACCAGGTAACATCTCCTCACAGGAACCACCGTTGCCAGCATTCTTACCCGCATCAGTATTACCCTCAGCGAGGGTAAAGACATGGTCGTTTGGTTCTGTCCCAAGAGATTCAGATACAATTCCCTGCATAATATCACATTTATTTCAAAATTGGAAATAAAATTGTCAGTGTGGTGGCTCTTAGATTTAAATAATTTTGGGCTAAAGAGGAAAATAGTTACTTTAAAAGTCAGAATAAAAAGTATTGTTTTAAGTTGACCTTTTTGAAAGTGAATTATGTTTAAAGTTAAAGCCAACGCACAAAACTCGGATGAAATTCCTGCAAACATACCTTGCTTATCCAGAAATTTATTCTTCGATTCAGAACATCCACTGGTACACCAAGGGCAGCGGCAAGCTTATTTGAGGTCCAACTGAAATTGATACAGAAAGAGAGTTAGCAGAGTGGGCAAAGTCTTGTTGTGTCTCAAGAAATCTTCATGGTACCTTATCTGATCTTGGAATTGCATGATAATCGCGGCATGTATAGGTGTCACAGTAAATTGTATTTCCCTATCTTCAAATTCCAACTCCAACTGAAAACACAACATATGGAATATGAAAACTTCGTGACAAATTTTGTTGACTGATATGACAAAGAAAACTGGAGGCAAATTCAAAGAAACTTGCCTTGACCGTGCCAAGATTCTTCTTCCAAAGCAGTTTCCGAGGAGTCTTGATTTCATGAAACCTTTTTGCATAATCAGTGAGGAGCTGGTCAACTGGTGCTGGTAGAGTGAGGTCCTCATCCTGGAAGCAAATGCAATGAAATTGAGTTTTACTTTTTCTTATCTACATACCAACTGTTTCACGATGCCAGTCACGGCCTCTCAAAAGGCCGAACAGTGATACTCAAGTAAAAGCAAAAAAATGTATGTATCACCTGGATAGGAGGCCAAAAGTTGGAGGAGATGATTGTAGCATCAAGAATATCGATAGTTGCCCCCATTTCCCGTTCTTCGTTTCCTACGAGCATATCAATCATAGAGGAAAATTGTCAACGAAAAACCTTGGGCTCAGAGCTAGTTGGAGGATGAAATCGTATGTATCCAGGCTACCTATTTGAGATGGTTGTATTGTTGTTTTAATGTTGTGGTTCGTCCTCTTTGAATCAATCAGATCATTAAGCATGATTTCACACTTCTGCATGCTAATTTCCCCAAAATGTATCTGCAAAATGGTTTATTAAAAAAGAAAGATGATGGTTATTCAACCAGTTGAGTACACCAAACTACATACAGGAGGGCTAAGACCAAAGTCCTACATAGACAACCTACCTTGAGGAGTTCCAAAGTACGTATCTCAGAGGCGATGTCGTAATCAGATTTGCTCAGAAGCTTTTCAGCTAACATTACACGGTATTCATTTACGAGTTGGTCTTTTGAACCAATTATGCTGACTATCATCCCTAAAATATCGACCTTGCTATGGTTCCTGCTTCCCTTCAATGGATCAGCCTCTGCAGGATCAGGCTCCCAGCTAAAATGCAAGCAACAATGAAGTGGAGGTCACAATGTTGTAATTTGAACCATATGTTGCCTAATCAGCCAAAATATGAAGTTCCAAGTTAATGAACATCTATCTAAATAGAAACTAGCTTCACATACTTAGCAGCATTTATCCATGCCTGCTTGTCATCAGTATTGAAGTCGTCATTTGCACCAATATTATCCTGCCCTTCATCATCCCTGTTTAGCTCTTCAAGTAGGCTATCCCCAGTGATCCCAGATGCAGCGGCATTCCCTCCACTTCCATCAGTAAGCATGGTCACAATGCATTTTATGGTATCCTTTCGACCCCGTAAGTAATCTCTTATTGGTTCACCAACAGCTTCAAGAAACACACCAGTTGGATCAATTGTTCGTAATGCCTTTATAGTTGAGACATACTGGTGCAATATATCATTGGTTGAAGCACCAGCGGTGAGTAAACGATATCGTAGTGCTGAAATGAAGGACTCCACAAGCTTAGAATGTTGTCCTGTATACTCAAGGCATTGTTTCAGGTCCTCAATGGCAGGAGAGCTGCAGAGACCACTAACTCGTTAGAAATATGAAGATGTGAAATCCAGTAATAAATTGAACTCAGTATATGGCAAAAGAGTTCAGCAGGTATGCTTTATCTACAACTAGTACCATTTGAACAAAAAGCAAGATTAGTACCGAAGAAACAAATTGCAAAAGCCATGCAACTTCATTTGCTGGTCATAGTAAATCATGCTTCAGATAAGAATCTTATGATCAGCCCGACATTATTAAACTTCTCATGTTAACTAATTAAATAGCATAACTTCATTCTGAGATTTGAACCAGCTGGGGACACCCAAACGTCAAAGGCAATAAGGTTTTACCTGTCAGGATAGTCAACAATAATTTCAAACAGCTTGGCAATTCTCAAGTCTTGTAATGTCTCATAAGCAAAATACTCCAGCCGCAATTGCCATCTGATGAGTCCTTCGGAAGGTGCATTGCTTGCAGGATACAGTGGTGATGACTGAGAAGCCAAAGGTGATACTTTACTAGCTGAAGGACTACTTTGGCTAATGGAATCACCAAGATATTCCAGAAGCGCAGTCAAGAACTGGAGAGGAACAGCCTGGCCACCATGGATGATATGATCAGGCTCTTACCACGCAATATAGTAACTCGATAAAGGATATAAGAGTCAGTCCGCATATGAGAGACACCAGAAAGAGAAAATGTGCAAGCAGTTCGGCAGGAACCAAAGTATATGCCAAGACATCATTTCATTGTAGATGCCCTAGTAAAACAGAGGATGATTTAAATCTTAGGACTCCTGACTAGTCAATTAACTGACTACATTAACAAAGCAGTTCTTACAAGTGATGAGGAACTTAGGCATAATGATACGTTGACCGCTTTTTCACCAACACTAAGTATATAGTCTCCAGATCTGGCGTTTCCATTCACTAAATAAATTATCTCTAAAAACCTTAGTTAGGACAAATGAAAATGTCAAACAACGGTAGACAGACCTGTATCCAATGTTTGATCGACTCCAAAACTGAACCTCTGTAATCATCACCAGCGAGATCATTTACTTTATCCTGCCATCCAATTAGTAAGTACAGCTTCATTCATAAGGCAAACGATTGTTTGTCTACACGGTATCACTTAAAATTGAAAAATAACAAAGAAAGATATTGCAAGGTTGAATTCTAACGCAAAACCAATAGCAGAAGCTCACCTTGAGAAGCAGAAAGATGGCAGAGGCATAAGCATCTTCAGTCAAAGAAGTAAATCCAAGACTTCTGAGATGGCGTACTACCTCCCCGATGTTCTTCACCAATTTGTTATTCTCAGTAAACTTACCCTGGGAAAAACATTCATCAACATCCATAGCTCCATTTTTATGAGATGATTTTCCTTCTTCATCTAATTCCATATCATCGTTTTCAGAGTCATCGTCACCTTCACTCTCTCCCTTCATGATTGCACTTAGTTCCTCCAACTTCCCCTTAAAATACGAGTGTAGTATTTCTAAGGAACAATTTCGTAAGTTAGGGAAAGAAAGGAGTAGAGGAATCAGAAACTTGAAGCAGATCAAACAGTTTTACAACAAGAAAGTAGCTTTAACATCTGAATACTATCCAGCGTGGAATAAGAAAAGCAATCAGATACCTACGCACATAATCACCAAGAGGAAGAGGCATACCAGGAAAATGCCGCGGAAGGCTAGCCATAAGAACTGAAGATACCACCAATTGATACTTTGAGCGAAGATATTGCCTCTCGTCATCGGTTTCTAAAGCATCAACCAACATCAACAAGCAGTTTTCCTGATATCGTTTCACGGCCGAAATCTCATCAAGTGCTTTACACAACACTTGCTGGACCTCACTGTCATCAATCTGCATTTTAATACTCACAAGGGCTCAGAACCATAAACAGAATCACCTAACACACCCACTCTCCAACAATTTCTTTTGAAAAATAAAAGCAAGTCGCCGTAGTTACATACTGGAGCTATATTCTTACTCTTCTTCTCCAATGAATCGTCCTTATAAGCATCAAAATGCTGCCAAAATCTCAAAGCTCCGCGTCTCTCAAAAGTTTCCTGGCAGGCACGGAAAATGTAAACCGTCTGTATTCAACAATCCACAGACAAAAACCGATCAATTGCTTCCAATTTGACTGCAAGAGGACGCGGATGCCTGCTTACCTCCAAAGATTTGAGGAACAGGTCGCGCACAAGGGAGTGGAGTCCGTGCTTGCAGAGCACGCCGGCGTGTGATACGAATTCACGACCGACGGAGAGGTTGACGGAGGTGGGGTTGAGAAGAGCGTCGGAGGTCGAACAGAAGCCATTGTAGCTATCGAGAATTTCTTTAATGGAATCGCCGCCCAAGGTGTCCAGAAGCTCGAAATCGCACACTGATGGAGACGAGGATTCTTCCATTTTGGTGGAGCCCTTTTAGAGTGTAGAAGCCCAGGCAACAGCCTGAGATCGAGAAACCCTAGATTCTAGAAGAAGAGAAGTAGTGCAAACTCAGTGGAAGTAGAAGGAAATGGCGGCGAGAGGGAAAACGGAAACTTTCAATTTCCCAGTTTATATTTTCTGAAAACTTATTTTATTTTCTCATTAAAAAGGTTACTGCTGATTCCGATAGCGAGGATACTGCGGCGGCGATGCGCCAAGACGGCCTCGACGAGGGCTTTGATGGAGAAGAGGACCCCACGTGTCCGCCAATATACTTCACCGCAGCGGAAGAGCGCACTTACTGTCGAAAATTCCGGTCTGCCCTTGTCGTCAGAGCGTTGGGGAGGTCTGTATCATACACTGCGGTCTCTCTACGCCTGAATACGTTATGGGCTAAGGCAGGAGGGATCCAAGTCACGTCCATGAAGAACAGCTACTTTCTGGTTCGGTTTACCAGTGGCCTGGATTACGATCGGGCGGTCATGAATGGGCCATGGATGATCGGACAGAACTATTTGTCAGTGCACATGTGGGACCGCGACTTCGACCCGTACAATCATGAAGTCTCTTCGACTCTGGTCTGGGCGCGGCTGCTTGAGATCCCTATACAGTATTTTCACGAGGATGCTGTTATGAAAATTGGCAGACGCATCGGGAGGCCAATTCGGATCGATGAGGCCACACGTACACCGGCAAGGAGTGACTACGCCCGAGTCTGTGTGCAGGTGGACCTTACGAAACCCTTACTCTCGAAATTTTCTATCAAGGGAAAGAGGTACTTTATCCAGTATGAAGGTTTGGAGAAGATATGCTTGAACTGCGGGACCTATGCAGAGAGAGGTGCATGCTACTGTAGCAGATCGCAGACACCTATGGAAGCGGAAGCTGTCGCAACGGAAACCACCCCCCCCCCCCCCCCCCCCCCCGACACCACAACCAGAGAACCTGTATGGGGAGTGGATGATAGCCAAAAGAAAACCCCGTCCGTCCAAGAGAGAGGTGGGGACGAACTCTAATCGGGGAGGAGTGCCTAGCGACAAAGCTCAGAAGAAAGCTGGAGGGTCACGATTTGCGGTTTTGGAAGAGCAGTCCGAATTACACACCGAACCAGCGGAGGCGGAGACTGACACCCGCGAGCCGAGTGAGCTGAGCAGGGCCAAACAGCAGCGAACCCAAAGCCGGAACAAACACCCTAGGGTGCAGGAACAAGCAGGGCGGGATCCAAAGGAGAGCACTCCAATGAACATACCTAGGGAGCCAACACCGAAAGCTTTACAGGGATTGGGAAACGGGCAGTGCTCACGTGAAAATCAGCTAACTGGGATCCACCAGACCATGCATGAAACTAATAATCCCTTGGAGGACGTGACCCTGGAGAAGGCTCCCATGCAGAGTGGCGGAGAGCCGCTGGTACCGCCGGTTTTTATGACCACCGCGGGTGGCAATGGCCGACCGCCGGATATAGGCTCGGGTAACCACCAGATGAGCTCTGAACCTCCGGACGAGAGCATGCAGACAAGTTCCTCGGGCAAATACAGCGCCGGGTCCGTCCCGTCGAACGCGTGATATAAGGGAGTACCTTTCTAACCCACCTTTTTATGGATTATAAAATTTTTTCATGGAATTGTAGGGGAGCAGGGGGCAAGGGTTTTTTACGTGCTTTTCGTGAGTATCGTAGAAAATTTAAACCCCATATTGTGATCATCATGGAACCTAGAATAAGTGGGGACCGCGCTATGAAAGTTATTCGGGATATGGGTTACGACAAAGAACTTGTAGTAGATGCTATTGGCTTCTCTAGGGGCATTTGGATCCTTTGGGATTCGAATGACCTTAACATTACTAGAATTCATGCTCACCAGCAATGTCTCCACGTGCAGGTTCAGGGGAGGCTACAGCAGGATGTTGCATGGCAACTATCGGCCATTTACGGTTGTCCAGCACCGATGCAACGGCGAGAGTTATGGGATTTCTTAAGATCCATTGCTGCAGGGATGGCCCAACCCTGGCTACTGGTGGGGGACTTCAACTCAATCATCAACCCTTCGAAAAAGCTAGGGGGTGCCCCATTCGATGCATCCCGTATTCGCGACTTCCAAGATGTAGTACAAGACACTGAGCTGATTGATTTGGGCTTCGTAGGACCGGCTTACACATGGTTCAAAACAGGCCTCCGGGAAAGGTTGGATCGGGGACTGGCAAATAATGATTGGATCTCAGCCTTCCCCGAAACAGTTGTGAGACATCTCCCACGCATGAACAAGTCGGATCACCGACCGCTTCTAGTTTCCTTGAGAGAACTACACGCTCCTGGCGGTCCCAAGCCTTTCCGTTTTTTGGCTGCCTGGCTCACACATGAAGAGTTCTGGGAAATGATGGATGAAGCTTGGGCAAAGGGCCACTCCTTCACGTCCTCGGCGGAGGCTTTCGCACGAGATGCTGGGGTGTGGAACAGGACTGTGTTCGGCCATGTTACTAGGAGGAAAGATAATCTTCTTCGCCGCATTGAAGAGCTGGAGCAAAATGGTAATGGGACAGGGAATTCCGCCCAACTTCAACAAGCCCAGGAGGAGCTCGAGGTAGTGCTCTTTCAAGAAGAGCTTCTCTGGTGCCAGAAAGCTAGACTCGAGTGGATTAGTTCGGGAGACAAGAACACAGCCTACTTCCACGCCAGAACCCTCAGGAGAAGGAGTAGGAATCGGGTGGTTATGCTGAAAGATGATGCGGGCAATTGGATCGAAGATCAGGCGTGTCTTCTAGAGATGGCTCGGGTATTTTTCAGTCAGCTCTACAGGGACGAGGGGGGGATCTTCCTGCCATCGAGGCAAACTTTCCTGTTCTCGAGCCCGACAGGTGGCAGCCGCTCGCCGCTATGCCTAATATGGAGGAAATTCGTGGTGCTATTCAGGCAATGGGTGCTCTTAAGGCACCGGGGAAGGATGGTCTCAACCCACTTTTCTTCCAGAAATGCTGGGAGACGGTCGGTCAGTCACTGACGCAATTTGCCCTAGACTGCTGAAATAACCCGGAGAAGATCAAGGAAGTTAATTCCACGATCCTAGTCCTTATCCCGAAATTGCTGCAGCCAACCGCCATCGATCAATTCAGGCCCATCAGTTTATGCAATGTGGCCTACAAAGCGGTTACTAAGTGCCTGGCGGAGCGGCTAAAGATCTTAATGCCCTCCCTGGTCCATGAAACCCAAACTAGCTTTGTCCCTGGTCGCCATATCACTGATAACATCTGCATCTTGCAGGAAGTCATACACTCGATGCGAGCTCGAAGGGGCAGGCGAGGTTGGATGGTGTTGAAGGTGGATTTAGCTAAGGCCTATGATCGGATAAGATGGGGTTTTTTCAAAGACATCTTAACTGCTGCAGGGGCCCCCAGTAATTTCGTCGATCTAACCATGGCGTGCATCTCATCGGCTTCCATGCAAATTCAATGGAACGGGGGCCTAACGGAGCATTTTCAGCCAACCAGAGGTCTTCTACAGGGGTGCCCTCTGTCCCCCTACCTGTTTACGCTCTGCATGGAAAGATTGGGGCACATTATTGATGAAGCGGTGCGGGGGGGGGGGGGGGGGGGCAGCTGGAAACCGATTCAGCTGACGCAGACGGGACCAGCACTCTCTCACCTCTTCTTTGCGGACGATTTGATCCTATTTGGGGAGGCGACCAGAGCCCAGGTGCAGGTGATAAATGATTGCTTTGAGCAATTCGGGGCTTCCTCAGGACAGCAGGTCAGCAGACCCAAATCTAGAGTGTTTTTCTCAGCTAACACAACCACGGATTGTCGGATTAGCTTGAGTGATGAGCTTCAAATCCCGACCACCCAGAATTTGGGCAGATACCTGGGCGTCCCGGTTATTCACGATCGGGTCACGAAGGCCACCTTCCAGCAACTGATTGACAGGATAGACACCCGCCTGGCAGGTTGGAAGGCATCCACGCTATCCCTAGCAGGTCGGATCACTCTAGCTCAGTCAGTGTTGGCTTCTCTTCCTGCCTATACAATGCAGACAACTTTCCTCCCCGCAGTGTGAGGGAGTACATTGATAGGAAGATAAGAGCCTTTATCTGGGGTAGCACCGACCAGGGCCGCAAGATTCACCTCGTCGACTGGGAAACGCTGTGCCGACCGAAAGAGGAAGGGGGTCTGGGGCTGAGGGACTCTACCAGAACCAACGAAGCCTATATGCTGAAAATTGCCTGGAGGTTGCTCACTAAACCGGACGAGCTGTGGGCCAGGGTCATCCTCTCGAAGTACTCGAGGAATACAACAACTGGCAGAAGATTTCTCACCACTGGGCGGCTCTCGAATCTCTGGAGAGGTGTGCTGCGGGTAGCTCACCTAACCGAGGAGGCGACGACGTGGAACGTGAGGAATGGCCTCTCGGCCAAGTTCTGGAGCGATCGGTGGTTGGACGACACCACCACCCTCAAAGACTATGCGCAGAACCTCCCCCCGGCGCTGCTCGACATGCCTGTCGCCGATTTCGTGCTCAATGGTAAGTGGAACATTGAGTTTCTTCATTACTATTTACCCCAGCCGCTTGTTTCGCAGGTTTTGCTCCACCCTATCCCGACGGAGGCGGAAGACGACGTGAGGGTATGGTGTTTCACCCCAAATGGCGAGTTCACATTGCGCTCGGCGTACGATCTGACGGACACCACGGAGAACCAAGCTGCTGGCCAACCAATCTGGCGCTCGGTGTGGAGAACACCGGCATTGCAGAGAATCCGGGCGTTCCTTTGGCTGCTAAATCACGACCGGCTGCTGACGAACGCGGAGAGAGGAAGGAGGCATCTGACGACCAACACCAGCTGCAAAATATGTGGAGAAGGCCCGGAAACGACGCTGCACGTACTCCGGGATTGTCCCTACGCCCGCGCGACCTGGGCGGAGTTGCTAGGAGAGGAGCCCAATTCACGGTTTTTCGAGCCGGACTTACACAGGTGGTCTCTGTACTACATTTCGGATAAAAGCCATATCATCGACAGTACTCTTTTTGCAGGGACATGTTGGCTTCTATGGAAGAACCGGAATGGTTACGTGTTCCAAGGGGAGCTGAAGACTCATACACAAATCCAGTT